GAATGTTCCTTTTTCTTAAATGGCGTAGTAAATCGTCATAACTGCCGATATTGGTCCGATTCTAATCCCAGAATTCATCATGAGGTTCATACAAAGCAGCCACAAAAATTAAATGTTTGGGCTGGTATTTTGGGCGATCATTTAGTTGGTCCATAGATCCCGCGGTAACAGCCATAATTGAAAATCAGAATGATCGGCGGTTCATTGCGAATAGGTTGGTGTTCCAGCAGGATGGTGCCCCACCACATTACACATTACGTGTTCGACAATATTTAAATCAGACGTTTCCAGATCGATGGATTGGCAGAAGAGGTGCCATTGAATGGCCCCCAAAATCGCCAGATTTATCACCTTTGGATTTCTTTATGTGGGGTCATTTAAAAAGCAAAATATATGCTACTCAGCAAACATCATTTGAAGATCTGCGACAAAGAATTGTGAATGAGTGCGTTCAAATTACTCCTCAAATATTGCAAAATGTGCGGCAACGTTTTGAGCAAAATCGTTATTATTGCATGGAGAGTCATGGCGGCCATTTTCAACATTTACTTGCCTACCGGGTCAGTTCATTCTTCACTTTTAAATTACTTTGCTGCCAAATGTATTGATCTCCACTAATGATGATGTATTAGCTTTATTTAAGCTTTAAATCAATAAATCTTCAAAATCACTGAACTGAAGTACATTAATTTTATATCATTATAAAGGGAATTGAAAGACCTTTAAAGTAAGGTATCACTCGACCCATCTTTCCATTTAGGATTTTGGGGGTGGTGTCACGCCCGCTTAGGGGGCTGCACGTGCTAACATGATTTTTTGCCAAACTTGTGTCCCCCTCGAAAACAATATCGACGGATCTGAGCATTTTTCAAAAAAAAAACTGAGCTGCCAATAAATGCGTCTGTTTCGTTTACGATGCGCCACCCTATATATATATATATGTATATAGTAGAAAAAACCGGAACGGTGAACTATCTCAGCAATAGTCAAATATAAATGAGCCAAATTTTTGTGCAAAGGGGTAAATCAAGATGAAGAATTCAAAAATTATATTTGCAAGGTTGCCAGGTTTATAGCTTTCTCTCTAGGTTAGGGAATTTTAAAATTTTAAATGGATCACCCTAATTTTTTATGTTGTTATCAATTGCCTGTATCAAATTTATTAGGACCTGTTCGATTTTTTACTCCTGTCAATTTCGAGGATATGGCATCATGCTTCTTCCGAAATGAATACAAAACCGACAATGTATCGTCAGTTATCTCGAAAACGATCCAACTGAAATTCGTCAAAATTAGTCAGGGGAATATCTAGACAAATTCATGAATTGCATTTGCGAGTTTTTTAAGATTCTATTTAAAAAAAGTCAAGAATAGGGAATAAGGAAATTTAATTATCAAACAAGTGAATATTATTGCAAAATAATAAGACTATTAGGAAATAAGAAAATACCTATCTACTAAATCTGGTGCTCAAAATGGCTACCATCGTTGGCTAAACAATATCCGAGGCGGTCGTAAAATTCTGCCACAGTATTCGGTAACATGTCTAGAGTAATTCGTGCGACTTAATCCAAAATATTTTGCCTAAGTTCTTCTAAATCGTTGGGCCGATCTTTATAAACTCTGCAGTTCCCCAAAAGAATAAATCTAGTGGGGTTATATCTGGGGAGCGAGGTGGCCAACCCACTCTGGAGTGCCACGTCTTCCAATCAATCTTCCTGGAAATTGGTTATTTAAAACCTCGATTACCCCATGAGAAATGAGCTGGAGCTCCATCATGCTGATACCAAATTTCGTCCATATTTACTTTCTAATTTCGGGTATTATGCATTTTTTAAGGAGATCAAGATATTTTTGTCCCGTCAAATTGCCATCTATGACAAATGGAACAATGACATGGTTGCCCAAAATTCCCGACCAAACGTTAACTTTTTCCGGGTATTGAGTGTGAAGTTCCGACGTCCAGCGCGGATTTTATCTACTCCAGAATCTGCAGTTGTGCCTGTTTACTTGTCCATTTAAACAGAATATGGCTTCATTCCAGAACAAATTTTTTTGTGGAAATTGGGGTTGTTGCCTATCATTTCCATCATAGTTTCTGTAAGCTGAGTTCGACGATCTGGATCATCTTCCTGCAGTTGGTCGAGGTAAATTATTTTGTAGGGTTTGAGTTTTTCATCAGCCAACATATTTCTGACCGATTCCTGACCTATTCGCGAATTAAGGGCTGATTGTCCTAGGGTTCTCTTCGAGTTGTAAAAGTACATTTAGCTTAATCCCATCACAAGTAGCAGTTTCGGTCTCCCTGATCCAGGTGTTCCTTTCACTCCGCCGATTTCAAGTAAGTTTCTTACTGTCCCTCAGATGGTAGATTTTTTAATTTGTTTTTAGGAATAGAGCGCGTTAAACAGATTGCACACTTCATGATGAGATATTCGTTTATCTCCATATCCTCGAAAAATAAGAATTTCAATTCGCTGTTTTTCGTTAAGTAACGGGTGATTTTTTAAGAGGTATAGGATTTGATTTAAAAAAAAACCACAAAAAATTTGAAAAAACGATTAAATCTCTATTTGAGTCGATAGAACGGTCGATATAATTTAATGTTTAAAGATTATTTCATGTAAATGTTGGCCGCGGCTTCGCTTTAGATGGCCCATGCGCAAGGTCCAATTTTGGCACACTCTCTCCAACATATCGGCCGGTATCTCACGAATAAATGCTTCAATATTGGCTTCCAGTGCGTTAATCGTTGCTGGTTTATAGCTGTAGACATTAGCCTTAACATGGCCCCACAAGAAATAGTCCAACGGCGTTAAATCACACGATCTAGGAGGCCAATTGACGGGCCTCAAATGTGGCACCGCCTTGTTGAAATCACATGTCATCGCTCGCTATTCACAGTTACGTTCCGGCCATTATCGTCTTTGAAGAAGTACGGCCCGATGATGCCACCGGCCCATAATCCACACCAAACAGTGAGTTTTTCGGGATGCATTGGTAGCTCTTGCAATGCTTCTGGCTGGTCTTCACTCCAGATGCGGCAATTTTGCTTGTTAACGTACCCATTCAACCAGAAATGAGCTTCGTCGCTGAACACAATTTTTCGATAAAAATGTGGATCTTCCTCCAACTTTGCCAGCGCCCATTCACCAAATGGGAAACGTTGTGGGAGGTCGTGTGGCTTCAGTTCTTGCACCAGCTGTATCTTATAAGGTTTTACATCCAAATCGTGTCGCAAAATTTTTCACGTAGTGGAGTAACAGAGGCACCATTGCGGCGAACGGCGGCGAATCGACATTTCACGGTCATCACTAACACTGGCGGATACAGCCGCAATATTTTCTTCAGTTCTCACTCTACGCCTGCGTGTTGGTGGTTTAATGTCCAATAATGTAAACTGGGTTCGAAATTTAGTCACCAGCTTCCGAATAGCTCCCTCAGTAGGTCGACCAAATTGCCCATAAATTGGAAGCAGTGCTCGATGCACTCTCTTGACCGAGCATGAATTTTGATAGTAAAATTCAATAATTTGCAAGCATTGGTCGTTCGTAAGTCGATTCATTATAGTTCAAACTGAACAAGTTTGAGAATGACACAAGACACGATTCACGCGTCATCTCTCAAAAACAGTGTTGCCAAAAAGATACTAGCAAAAAAATCACCTATTACAAATGCCATAATAACGCCCGCAATATTTGTCACGTTTGAATTGTTTTGACATTTATAATTGATATGATTCTGAAGTCTCCACGACATTACAAACAAATGAATAACACGCCTTCTTGTTTATTTTGTAAAACAAACAAACGGATGATTTCTTACTAGGATGCAAGTGTAAGGAATGAAACAAACCCTGATGCCATATCTCCGAAATTGACAGGAGTAAAAAAACGATAATATCAAGTTATAATAAAGTTGATATAGGCAATTAATTCCAATAATAAAAATTAGGGTATTCTATTTAAAATTCTAAAATTCTCTAGGCTAGAGAGAAAACTATAATCTTGGAAACCTTGCAAATATATTTTTTTAATTCTTCATGTTGACTTAACCTTGTGCAAAAAACATGGCTCATTGAACCCTGTATAATGAAAAAAATCATTCTAGTGTTCTATGCATTAATCGAGACTACGAAGACGTCGAAACATTTAACTTTATAATCGATAATTTTTCAAATAAAGCCATGAACAAGTTGTTGCAGCGGATAAAAGTATAAACAAGCAGACGTAATTATCAGCCATTGTTAGCCAATATCCACAATATCTCAGTATAACCACAATAATCAAATTAAGCCCCTTTCTGCTTATACCAATATTGTTATTTGTTCATCATCATGTATACATACACTAATACAGGATGTTCAAGGAAAATAGATACTCTAACTCCGTAAGCTTATAAAGCCGTGAGATAAAGCATCGGGAAATACGAATCGCAATTACATCGACACTGTACCTTGTGTGCCGCAAGTTTAGAAGCAAACGGTAACAGTGTCGTCAGTATATGAGTTATGGTCAGTGTTGTCAGTTCTACTGAATTTTCAGTAGATCTACTGATTTGTATATTGATCTACTGATCTACTGAAACATTTTTGTAAACTACTGAAAAAATTATGATTCCTAATTGATGTTATTATTGTTAATTTTTAATTCATAACCTACACCTTGCGGAATATTGTCGAAGAATCAGTTTAAATACGGTCATGAATGATGACCCTACATAAAGCGTCTTAGCGCTTGATATTATGTTGGTAATACTTTACAGCCCAGACTACTGATGTAAATATTCGGAATATTTTGCTAACCGGTTAGACGGAAACGGATGAATAGAATATTCGGATGAATCTTCCATGGATGAATCATCCGTAATAATAATAATAGGAATCATGGCATCATCCATAACAGCAGTGGTTTTATGCGACCTGGGAACACGGACCGTATTCCTACATCACTGGACCAGACCACGGCCATGGGGAATCACCGGTTATTAATGCGTAAACGACTACGGGGACCGGGATTTCCCAGCTCTGCGCGACAACGCGAGGGTTTTGGTTTTTTCTTTGTTTTCACCTTCACAATTCGGTTTGATCTCGTATCCAGTGGTTTTGTTGAATACCTTATTTTTTATCCTTTCGTATAAGCGCACGTACAAAAATGAGGTAAGTTCACTTTTATTAGTTAATATTGAATTCTAAAGATGTAATGTATTATGTTTTTAGTTCAAGTGAGTACCATAACTCTGAAAATGAAGGGGCTGGTCCCTCAAAGAAAAAAAAATTAAATATAATCAAGTATTTAAGAAAAGCTGGACCGAAGAGGAACATTTTAAAAAGTGGATCAAACAGGAAAAAGATGAATACTTTGCTATGTTCCGCGTGTGCAATAAAAATATTTCTATTAATGCGATGCACATTAAACTATGCAAATCTCAGAAAAAGCAGGGAACATTAACAAATATGGCGGTTTTTAAAGGAGGCCCAAATCAGGAAACCATATTAAAAACGGCAGACTTACATCTTGCAGCTCTTGTCACTGAGCACAATTTGTCATATAATGTGATGGAGCATTTACCTGCACTAATAACCAAACTGATTCAGAAATAGCAAAGAAAATTAAATGTAGTCGGACTAAATGCTCTTGTGTTATTAAGAATGTTATTGGCAAGAGGCATGAGGAGGAAATCTGTGAAATTTTAACTAGGAATAAATTTTCATTAATTATTGATGAATCCACAGACCGTTCATGCACAAAACATTTGTGTCTTGTTTGTAGATACCGTCATAATAATACGTAAGTTCATAATATGATAATATATAAATTTTTAAGATATAAAACTATTTTTTTCTTCTAGAATCCAAGACAGTTCCTTGCATTACTGCCAATCAAAGAAGCTAGAGCTGAAGATCTGTATAAAGAAATTACCAACTTTTTTAGCCTGAAGAAAATACCGTATCAACCAAATCTAATTGGACTCGCATCTGATGGGGCAAACGTTATGGTTGGAAAATACAATTCAGCAGTATCTAGGTTAAAGGTAGATATACCAAATGTTTATGTTGTTAAGTGTATTTGCCACAGCTTTCATCTATGTGCGTCATATGCTTGTTTTAAATCACTTAAGGGGATTGAAGATTTGGCCTGTGAAATATATACTTATTTCTCAAATAGTCCAAAACGAGTCGAAACTCTTAAAGAATTTCAAACTTTTGCCCAAACACGAATACATAAAATGTTACATCCGGCCCAGACAAGATGGCTATCTTAGAAGCTGTAGTCTCTAGAATTTTAGAGCAATATAATGCCTTAATTTTATTTTTTACTGATACCTCTGTAACTTATCGAACTTTAACACCATAAAATATATTAACAAAGTTGAATGATCGGTTCACAAAATTGTATTTTCAATTTTTAGAATTTTCTTTCTCCTTTCTTAACACTCTTAATAGGCAAATGCAATGTGAAAAACCGGCTATCCAAGATTTATACAAATCTATAAGTACTGTTTATACATCTTTTTTAGAATGTTTTATAAAAGGGGAAGTACTCATACAGTCCCCACTTTATCAAATTGATTTCAAAGATCCTAATAATTTTCTTCCCTTAGAAAAATTGTATTTAGGAGCCAAACTTCGAGTCTCAATTGAGTCATTGGGTGACTCCGACAAATCTACTTTTAGGAAAAGAAGCCTAGAGTTTTATGTAGAAGCCGCCAACCAAACAAATCAAAGGTTTGACTTCAATGACCCCATTTTAATTAGTATGGATTTAATAGGCGTCAAAAATATTTTGGACAAGAAAGCTGACAGTATCATGCCACTTATGAAACATTTTCCAAACTTGGTTTCGGAGAATGAATTTCAACTGGTAGATAATGAATGGCGATTACTTCGAAATACGGATTTAAATTTCAGTTGTGATGCAGATGTAGAAACATTCTGGTCAAAAATTGGAAGTATGCTCTACAGCGACGGAACTTCCATGTTTCCTGTTTTAAGTAGATTTGTTTCCAATTTGTTAATTTTACCACATTCATCGGCAAATGTAGAAAGAGTTTTTTCTGCGGTAAATCTAATGAAAACTAATCAAAGAAATAAACTTTCAACTATAAGTATTGTGGGACATCTACACACAAACAATTACTTAGGCCCGTATCGTCAGTCGTCCCTACAATTGTAGGGTGCGTTTATGGCCTTGATTGTCATACTCCTTTCTCTCCTTCAAAAGTTTCTACATTACACTTGTCCCGTGTCAGCGTCAGCGCTCTCCTATTGTGAAGATATGTTTACTTTTTAAATTGTAGGAAATTTCAGGCTGATAAATCATGATATAACTCAAAAGCAAACACAATTTGATGCAAATAGATGTTTGTGACATAACCACAAGATAGAGTTATGACACGGAGAAGTAGAAAACTATGACAATCAAGGAGGCCATAAAGGCGCCCTACAATTGTAGGGACGACTGACGATACGGGCCTTAAAGTCTAGAACATAGAAGTAATAAATTTACATAATAATGATATGTATAAACTAAAAAAGTACAAAACTTTATCAGATTCCGAATAAATTCTATTTTTTATATAGGTACCTCTACTTTCTTACATTTCATTTTTTTACTTGTTTTGTATTTTTGGAGTTGTTTATTATTTTTAATATTTACTGCTGTTTTTTATGTACTTGTACCTGGTGAGTATATCCTAAGTAACCTTATTTTGTGATAAGTTCTTTTAAATTAAGAATTAGGTATAAGTTAAAATTTTTGTTTTGTGTACATATTCCTATATGTTGTTAAGCACACAAATTTTCTTTATTTATAAAAAATACATATTTTTTCGAGTTCATAGGTCTTTTTTATCACCCTTTCCTAAAATTTGCATAAAATATACATCTACTGAATTTTTGGCAACCCATTTACTGATGAAATCAATATCGAACTGGCAACACTGGTTATGGTGGTCGTGGTAGGCAGGATGGATTTATCTGCAGCAGAAGCAAGTTTTATTGTGGAACATTATTTTCGATTGAGTTCGTTCAAGATCGTGCGGGAACGGTTTCAGAAGTTCGGTGATCAACGAAGCTTGCACAACAAACCGATAAAGCGAGTCGTCGACCGTTTTCAGAATGAACGTACACTGGTGAGACGAAAGGGGAGTGGCCGTCAGCGCAGTGTAAAAACGCCAGAAAAGATCGAAGTGGTGCGGCAAGCAGTTACAGCTAAAGCCGGGCACATACATGCGGTGTTCGGCGAATAGCAAATATTTGGCATTCGACGAGCAACTCGGTAGCTATTTGTTATATGGCGAGCACGACCATACACACATGTGGCGTAAATGCCGAATATTGCTCGGTATGGAAATAATGAATACGATCTACGATTAATGTACGAATGGTGAAAATGAATGGTGAAACATTGATGACTGATGCTGCTGCTTTTGTAGTTATGAGTGGTGCTTATTTACAGTTATTAAAAAAGAAGTCTAGGAGAAGAAGTAGAAGAAGGTGGTGGATGGTAACCCTTAATCAAAGTAGAGAAAGGTAAGTAACCTTGGCAGCAAGTAAAATCACAAAAATTAAAAAGATATAAATTTGTCAAAAGTAATATTATTGCATAATTTGATGTAGTTTTCAATTCCTTCTTTCTTAATTTATTTGCAACTCTGTATATTCAGCAATAATTTTGGTGGTATTTTTTTTAATTTCCTATAACCTGCAAATATCCTGTAAAATTGTTTTATTGTTTATTACCAATACTAAAATTACTTAAAAATATAATGTTTTTTTAGATATAGTGGAACTCATCTGATGGCAGATTTATTAAAGGAACCATCTGGCAGATTTGAAAACTTCTGCAGAATGTCCTTTGAAGATTTTGAAGAACTTCTTCAAAAAATAGAGCCAGTGATTTCTAAAAAAGATACAAGATGGAGAAAAGCTATTCCGGGAAAAGAACGATTAGCCTTAACTTTGAGGTTTCTAGCGTCGGGAGGCAGCTTTAAGAGCCTACATTATTTGTTTAAAATATCAGCTCAACTCATTTCCTCCATAGTTCCAGAAGTATGCAGTGCTTTAATAAAAGTCCTGAGTAATGTAATACAGGTAACATTTGTATTTCGTTATTTTATAAGAAGGTAGAAAAGTAATATTTCTGCAAAAGTAAAAAAACATACCTACATATAAAGTACATATCAAATGTTTATAATTTTATCTGAAACTTGTATAACACTGCTTCAAACTTTCAAATTGTGACTCATCAGATGGGGAACATTGTTGAGTTTCTTGAAATGTCGCAGAACTTTGATAAGGTGATGGTGGTTGGGAAAGTCCAATGGCAAAGTTGGTAGAAGATTGACGACTACTAAACGATGCTTCAGAAGGCGATGATAATGGACTACATTGCGGGTTCACAGAAGTTAAAACAGTTGCATTTTGATTATTAGTAGGCATGAACGGCTGGTAATTTAGTGGCATATTCAAATTCATTTTCATTTCAAAAAGAAGATTATCAATTCGATTTATTGCAATGTCCCTAGTTCTCTCATCAAACTGTTTCAATCTTTCAGCAACCAATTCCCCATATTTGTCACAGAAATCTTTTCCTTTTGCATTTTTTTGGGCATTGCTTTGCATAATAGTATATGCCTCATCTACTTTTCTTTTTAGTTCAACCTCTTCAGTCACTTTCTTCTTTTTCTGCGCAGGACGCTTGAAGGAAGACTTCGAAGTAGATGGCAGTATTTCTGCAAGACAATAATTTTTTAAAAGATGAAATTTTATTAAATAAATGCGTTTACCATCATTTAGGATATTTTCATCTATTTCAATTATGTTGTCAGGAATATTTTCAGTATGATTACTTCCGTTAGCGCTTACATCGTTCGGAGTTGTTTCATCCTGCGACAGCTGTGATGCGAGGTTCTGAAATTTGAAAATAAAGTGATAAATAAGAAAACCACATTATCCATAATTTTAATTGTTACTTTCATTTTATACTATTATATTAATATAATGTATAAGGCTATTTTCTATTATTATTAGAAAGAGTAAATCCGGTAATTGTAGCTAAAATTTGAAACACTAAATTTTATCTGAATTACTAATAATATTAATAAATGAATTAAGTATAGTACTACTCCATAAAGGCACTGATTGGTATATATTAAAGGCATTTTCTCATTTATGTTTTCAGATCCCATCAAATGAAAGCGAATGGAAGCATATAGCCAAACAGTTTGAAAATATATGGAATTTCCCTCACTGTATTGGTTCAATGGATTGGAAACATATTACAATACAGGCTCCAATAAACAGTGGATCTGAATTCTATAATTATAAACAATATTTCAGTGTAGTGTTAATGGCTCTAGTTGATGCTGATTATAGTTTTATATTTGCTGATTGTGGTTGTCAAGGAAGACTAAGCGATGGTGCTGTTTTTCGAAATACAGAACTTTTTAAAAAAATCGAAAATAACGAACTGCATTGCCCTTCAGATGAGCCATTACCAGGGCGAAATATTCCAATTCCATACTTATTTGTGGGCGATGATGCATTTGGATTATGTAAACAAATCATGAAGCCTTATCCAGGTCTACATGAAAAAGGAAGCAAAGAAAGAACGTTCAACTATCGTTTGTCAAGAGCACGTCGCGTCGTGGAAAATGTATTTGGCATTATGGCTTCTACTTTCAGAGTCTTAAGGAAACCAATGTTACTTCAACCAGTAAAAGTTTCATTAATCGTAATGACTTGTGTCCTCTTACATAATTTTTTACGAAAAAGCAGATCATCGCGTTCGAACTATTCCCCTCCCGGAACGTTTGACTCTGAAGAAGATGGAAATATTACACCTGGTGCATGGCGTCAAAATCAAGATAATATGTCAAGTTTACTCCCACTGCGTAATATCCCAAGAAAGCCCAGCATGGAAGCAAGAACTATTAGGAATGAGTTGGCAGAATATTTTATGAGCAACGGAAGAGTATCTTGGCAAGATATATATTGTTAATGCTTAATTTTTTTTATATAAACACGCAAGTTTTCAATAAAAATATTTGAAGAAAAGTAGGTATTTATTACTTACCTCTGAATTTATTGTATTCCTTGCCTCATTCTTATTTTGATGGAAACTGGCCATTCTCTCGTAAGCGAACCAATTTGGTTTATATATGTCTTCTGTACCTGCTCCACTTTTTGTAGATTCTTTAACTTTATTATTACAAGCCCTAAACGATGCCATTAGGGAATCCTTTTTCTTTTTTAATTCTGTGACAGAGTATTTTCCACCCATATTTTTCTCTATTCTTTTCCAAGCATCGAATACAAGATTTCTGTTTTTATGATCACTCAGCCATGGATTCCAAACTAATGATTCTTGTTCATAGAAATCCAAAAATTGTAATACTGTTTCATTACTCCACTCCATTTTAAAACGAAAAATAAACTGAAATTTCTCCACAAATAGCGAATAGCTTCTCGAATGTCTGTATCGACACAAAACGCAATTATTCGTCTGCTTTGAAGCGGCACAAAATACCGACAAGGACTGGGAAACGGCCAAATACGATTAATCGGCACGAGCAATCATAACAGACAAGTCGGTACTCGTCGAGTTCCGATTACTTGTTATTCGCCGCTCGCCGATTACCACATACCTGTGCCCGCCTTAACCCTCGCATCTAGGGGCGAAAATTGGCGCGCATGCATGAAATATCTATTGGCAGTGTACAACTACACAGTAGGTATTCTTCATGAATTCAAGCTGTATCCCTATCGGATTGAGGTACGACAAGAATTGAAGCCTCCAGACTACGGACACAATTTTGTCGCTGTTTTAATTCTTTTGTGCGCCAAGGTATGGCTCAGTTGGATACGGTCTTCTTCTTTGATGACGCTTGGGTGCATTTAGACGGTTATGTAAATGCACAGAATTACCGTACATGGGAAAGTGAAAATCCTCATGCCTATGTGGAAAGAGGGTTACACGGTCAGAAGATTGGGATATGGTGCGCTGTATCGCGCGCACGAGTTGTTGGACCCTTATTCTTTACTGAAACCATCACTGCGAAGCGATATCAACAAATCCTTGAATTGTTTATTGCATCTTTGAAGCCGGAGGAGTGTTATTGCTGGTTTCAGCAGGAATGGGCCACAGCTCACACCGCTGGTTCGACAATGAGATTCTAACAGAATATTTTGGAGGCCGCATTATTTCGCCAACATTGTGGCCACCACGTAGCCCTGATTTGTCTCCTCCAGATTTTTATTTATGGGGCTACATCAAAGACAGGGCTTTCCAGAACCCACCCACCTCAATCTCAACCCCACGAGCGCGTATTACAGAGGCTATTATCGCAATAACACCAGCAGTCTTACATAAAGTGTTCCGCAATATGCAGAGAAGGGTAGCAGCCTGTCTCTAGCGGATGGTGGACACGTCGAGCATATGCTTTAGGTGATATCTTCTTGTTTCGTATCCATATTTTTAAGTACTTTTTTGTGACCTTTTATAATAAATTGTGCGAGACTGTCGTCAGAGTATCTATTTATCTTGAAAACCCTGTATTTATGTGATGCTTTTCATGATATTAACTAAATACCTACTAACATCGGAATGATATTTATAGCAATATAATGATAATCCCGAAAGAAACAATTTTGATTTGTTTCATCCCTGATCATTACCCTGTACCAGTTCTTTCTAACTATGCTTTGATATAAGTTAGAATGTTATTTAGGTACTGTACCGTATTTCTAAGTCAAATGCCTGAATCATTTTCGACCTATTTTCGTAAATACGGGCCAAGTAATGCTTGTGCTTGCATGGCGGGCTCATCGCTTAGTGGTGACGGAGGTAGCTAGTGTAAAGTGACGTCACGCGACACGCTCCAGCAAAATAGTTCTCCAAATAAGAAGCATCTGGGTAGCGTAACTTAGTCATCATTCAAAATATTAAAAAAAAAACTTCAGTGCTTCGCTTAGACACTGCTGAGTATACTTGAACCGAAGATCTTATTAATATTTTTCAAACTGACTGGTAGACCATACGTTTTTCACTTGGATATCTTTTCTTATGCTTCATCATTAGATCCCAAAAGCACAGCGAGGGTGTCACGTGTCTAGTATATTCAGAAAATATATGTTAACATGATAGGTTGTCGCTTTGAGGGGGGGGGGCGACATATTCCACTTCACTGAATTTTTTTACCACGCTGGACTTGGCACTGCTCCTCAAGCTAATGAATAAGGAAAGAAAAAATCATAGCCTCCTTCAAATGATCGTTCTGCTAATAGAGGAAAAGTGCTCACCTGAGTTCGGTATCCAGTGGCGCGCCGTTTCTCTTCGCTTGCGAGTTACTTTTTGATTTTCTCCTGGGGCTGACGGTTGGTTGCCTAACGTCATTATTGCCGTTGGAGTCTGACAGCTGATGATGAGGGGAGGGGGTTGCCAAACTGGCTACGACGGACGATATGCTGGAAAGAAGCAATGACATCCGATTTAAGTATTGAGATTTTTATCTTAAAATACAAAGGGTTTAACATATCAGACAAGCAAAGGTATAATCTTAATCATAGAGGGTGTGTAACAGGTTCCGGAACTCCACATGATTTGAGAACTAAAAATGACAAAAAAAGTAAGCCTCACCATTTATAGAAGCTTTTACCAGTTATTCAATAGTGACCTTCAACAGGAAAGGGCAACTCGATTTTTTCAAATAGAACCCGACATTTTTGAACCCTAAATGAAGAGGGAAAAAATTTTACGTTCAAATTTTGACCTTCATTGAGGTCAAACACAGGTACGATGATAACTTAAAAACCAGTAGTCGTCTAGGGATACTACCGAGACATTATTTTCATGATTTTTCCCCGGATATCCAATAGTGACCTTGGATCTGACCTTTATTATGATTACCTTCAAGGTCATGTAAAGGCCAAGACGATTTTTGTAACCAGAAAGCAATCCTGAACCAACAGTGAAGTCAGTTTATCTGTAGATTACACATTTTTGATTATTACAAATTTAAGGCAAACTTGTGTTTGTCCTTGATAGTCAAGTCTAAGGTCAAATTACAAAAATGGCCAAGAACATACTTGAACATAAAATTTTCTCTGTCCTTCATTTCCGTGACCAAAAGTGTAGGGCTCCATTAGAAAAAGTTGACCTTCAATTGAAATTGAACGTCATGGCCAAGGTCAGATACAAAGTCACCTTTGGATATCCGAGGGAAAATCATGGCGAAGCTGTTTCGGTAGCTACCCAATATGACTACTGGCTTTCAAGTTATATCACCGTACTTGAGCTTCAATTAGACACCAACCTCTTAGGGTCAAAATTTTAGAATCGTCAAGACTATATTTGAACGTAAAATTACTTTCTCACTTCATTTACGGAGTCTAAAATTAAAAACAATCGAATCATATGTCCTTAAAGGCCATGGCATGGTCAAGGTCATATGCAAGGTCAACACTGGATTGCTTAGGAAAGCTCCTATCACTGGCGAAGATTCGTTTTTAGTACCATTATTAGTTCACCAGTTATCATGAGGTTCCGGAACTTTTCAGACACCCTCCATATAGGGTGCCAAGTGGGCCAAGCAACACGAAAATGGGAACGTTGTTAAATTCAAAGTATGTGTGCACTGAAGTTAGGTTTCTGTCGTAAAGCAAAATAACTTTCTGGGTATAATGATTCACACTTTACCGCTCGGTTGCAGATGAAATTATAATTATACAGGGTGTCCTACAAGATTCAGCCTCTCTTTACTCAGGTCTTGGAAAAATTTGCAGTTTTCGCTAGTAACATATACTCCAAAGTCTTAAGATTGCCCAAGTCTTTGGCTCCGTAAAATCAATCAAACCCAAACATGACTCCAGGAGCTAGCTGCATTGGTAAACAAAACTTTTATAGATCGGTTCTAGAAGAAAACAAAACGAAAGTGGCTCTCTCATACAGCAATATCGGAGTCAACCATATTGTTTTAGCTTGCCGGTGATTCGTCTTCGGAATGCTACCGAGGTTTCCGGAGTGCATGAGGATCGTTTTTCAAGATCTTTCGCGATTTCTTTTCGTTCGTTTGAGGGAAAGAAAATGTTTAGCTTATGAAACTGAGGTGAACGCGGTGGACCAATTACGTGTGCAAAAGCAATCTTCTCTGTGCATTCTAAAAGCCTTCCCTGACGCTGGGCTACGCCGAACACATGCATGTGTATTTGGATCTATTGGAGTCAAGTTTGAACAATACTTGCAAGTGACAGGGCTATAGTTGAAATTTTCTTTCTACAGGGTGTGTCAGTATATTATTGCATAACTTTAAGATTCGATAGAACTTTTAAAATTATGGCATAAAGTCTATATAAACATGGGTCGAAAAATGCGTGGCTTCCGAAATACAGGGTGTTTAAATTTACTTTCTAAAATAGTTTTTTTTAAATATTTCGAACAATATTTAATGTATAACAGTGAAAATTGGTATACAAGGGTTTTTTGGTACGACAAAACGAACCATGGGCATAGTTTTACTGTAGCCGCTAGAGGGCTCTCTCTACTGTACCTGTAGTGTATAAAAATGAAAATTTTTTCTTAGTGCAATTTTTTGCTTTTTGAATAAAAAAACTCATTCTTCGCACTTTCCAACATAAAAAAGCTCTCCTGTGAGTTTTCGTTATAGTTAGCCGTTTTTGAGATATTTCGATTTTTAAGGTTCGATGCATTTTTAATTATTTATGGGAAAATAATATTTTTTTACATTTTCGAGTTGGGCATTACAAGTAATCAATATGATCGTTTAGATTGTGTTTTTAAACACAGAAATAATTCCTAACTCCAAATAAACACAAAAAAACAGAATATTAATTTGTTTAATTTTCCAATATTATTTTTAACAAATTAAATTAATTATTTACAACTAAAATGCTATTGGATAGTTAGGACAAACATACAACATCTAAAGTAGTTGCTCGAAATGTAAAGCCAATTGTTCAATACACAATTCACATTTACGAATGATCGAACGTGGTATAGCATTATTCAAATAAGGCATTATTTCATCACATGCATTCCTGATTCTGTCTATTAGCATGTCTCTTGTGGTTACGGGAGTCTGGTACACTTTCTCTTTTAGAAATCCCCACACAAAGAAATCTAATGGATTTAGGTCAGGGGATCGTGAAGGCCAGGCGACTGGTCCTCCACGGCCGATCCATCTTTCTGGATAATTTTCGTCCAGCCAGTTTCTAACTATTCTCGAATAATGAGCTGGACAACCATCAAGCTGGAACCAGGCCAATCTTCTTAAATCTAACATAACATCATCCCACATATTTGCATGTTCAGCCTTTAAAAATTCCAAGACGGTCGCAGCATTTAACCTTGCAGGCAAAAGGTAGGGTCCAAAGTTGATTACGGTAGATACCAATCCACACGTTCACACTAAATTCATGCTGAAAATTTCTTTCCCGAACTGCATGCGGATTTTCATGCGACCAAATATGTTGATTATGAAAATTTACCACTCCACGTATAGTGAAACATGACTTATCGGTCCATAAAACGTTACTCAAAAACTCCCTATTATTATCAGTTCTATCAAGAATCCACTGACAAAATGTGATTCTCCGTTCTCCGTCCCCTGGCTGTAGTCCTTGCACAGGTTGCAAATGGTAAGGATGTCTATGGTCATTTCTAAGAACATGGTGAACATGGCTTGCTGAAATTCCCAAGGCACCAGAAACTCTCCTAACACTTGTGGTCGGATCTCTATCAAACTCACGCAGAATCATACGGGTAAATCTGCGCTGACGAACATTTATGTTTTGATCCCTTTGGAGATTTCCAAAACCAGTTTCAATTATTTGCCGATGCACTCTTACAAATACTGAGCGAGTTGGATGTCGTCTGTTTGGAAATCTTCGTGCGTATTCTCTGGCTGCTTCTGCTGCGTTTCCATTTACAAAGCCATACACAAAATGAATATCCGCTAACTCTTGATTAGAGATAGCATTTTTATAAAACTTACAAAAAAAAAACAGGTAAAAGAAACTAAATTTCTTGCATTCACAATTGCAAAAAAACGTTTCAACAGACAACAAAACTAACTGTCAACTAATTGACGTTTAACCTTATTCTGCTTTCAATTTCAAAAATATTTGCATGCTCAGCCTACTTCTAAAAATTATCGAGATACTGACTTTTTAACGTTATTTTATCATAAACAATTAAAAATGCATCCAACCTTAAAAATCGAAATATCTCATAAACGGCTAACTATAACGAAAATTCACAAGAGAGCTTTTTTATGTTGAGAAGCGCGCAGAATCAGTTTTTCTTGTTCAAAAAGCAAAAAATTGCACTAAGAAAAAATTTTCGGTCATTTTAATACACTACAGGTACAGTAGAGAGCGCCCTCTAGCGGCTACAGTAAAACTATGCCCATGGTCCGTTTTGTCGTACCAAAAAACCCTTGTGTACCAATTTTCACTGTTATACATCAAATATTGTTCGAAATATTTAAAAAAACTATTTTAGAAAGTATGTATATTTCGGAAGCCACGCATTTTTCGACCCATGTTTATATAGACTTTATGCATTAATTTTAAAAGTTCTATCGAATCTTAAAGTTATGAAACAATAAACTGAATTACCCTGTATAAACGGTGAGTAATTTTTTAATTGTTTTTTACTGTGTTGTTTGTTTCATAATATATTAGCTCCGTTATTACAAACTTAATTGTTTCTAAAAATAAAAGTCCCAACCTTCAGGACACCGTGTATAATTGATACAATCCAAAAATAAAGTTCTTAAAGAAAACCTAGATTTTTGATAAAGATGTCATTGTGGGATGTCGACCCAGTGCAGGTTTATTCTGACTAATTGCACCCCATGAGATAACTATGAATTACCTTTTATTTGGTACATTATAAATTAGCATACTAACCACTAATCCGACGTTTAATCAAAAGTTATACAGCAAATTGTAATCAAATTTGTACCTCTGGATGAGGGGTCATTTTATACGGCCTCATGAGTACAATATCTCTGGAAAACGGGTAATTACATTTTTTTCTAAAACTGCCTTTTTGAGATTTAGCTTATAACCCGTTAACCCGTTTAAGACGATTGTAGCGGCAGTTTGATGTTCAACATAAGCCAGAGAAACGAATTTCTATGCAGAATAGGAAATTCCCAGATACCGGCGATACTGACGTTGCTGCCACATTTCGTAAACGGTTTCCTTATCGTTCCAGGAACTTTCCCTACCTGACCCAATTCCGAAAATATAAATTCTATTCGGAATACCGATACATAAAACTACTGAAAAAGGCTTTTTGAGGAGGACGGCTACGCTACTATAAATTTACTTTGGACACCTGAGATATACGACTTGCGCAAAAAAATTTAATATAACCAGATACCTAATATGAGCTTCCTATAAAAGGGGTTTATATATGGCGGATTATGAGTGGTGCCGTT